CCCAGCTCCCCCTCGGGCGCTCAGGACGCTGCTGCCCCCAGCGGCAGAGCAGGGAACTACAGCCAGCTGCGTGGGCTTGGACCCCGGCCAGGCCCGCGACCTGCGACCTTACAAATACACAACTTACACAGCTCTTAAGACCTTGGCACAGGCAGCAGGGCTCCTGCCCCGGTGGCTTCTCATCTCATTTGCAGTTCTGGAACCTTACAGCTCACACTACCCCGGTGGCACGGGGGACCCGCAGGATGTGGCCTGTAACAGCAGGCCTGCGCCGCCCCGCCGGGAACCTTACCAGGGCCCTGAGCAGCTGCCACTGGTGCTCGTCCAGACACTGGGAGGAGCCCTGCTCCAGCGCGCGCTGCTCCCGCAGCTCCTGCAGAAGGCCCTTCTTGCCGGACAGCCTCATCTGGGTCAGGGCGGTGACGGCGCTGCCGCGGAGGGCCAGCCTCCGGAGGGCGGAGCGCAGGAGCAGGCCGTGGGCCTGCAGGACGCTCCGCGTGGACCTCGGAGGAAAGCGGGTGGGGCTGAGCGCCGGTGGCTTCACGAGTTACCTGGCGGGGGCGTGGGGAGCGCGGGCACCCGCCCAGTGCGCCCCTGGGCGCGCGTCGGGCTTTCGGGAGGGGGTGCGCATCTGCCCCCCGGGCTGGGTGAGGCGGACGGCTCTCCCAGGGTCGTGGGCCTCGCCCGGCCGGCTGACGGCCAACGAGCGAAAAGGCCCCGAGTGAGAGGACACTGCTGTCTGCCTCGTCTGAGTTGGGTCGGGTTTTTTCTTGCCTTGAGCTGGAACCTTGGTTCTCCCTAGATGTTCAGGTTGTTTACTGTCAGGGGCCTCCCTGGTGGCACAACGGGTTGAAGCACCGCGCTAGGAAGCTACCACCCGCAAGACAGCACGAGTTTGAGCCCCACCAGGGAGGGACCCCAGGGCGCGGCAGCCCTCTCCTGTCCCCTCGCGGCTCCCCTCAGCAGTGTGCTTCAGTCCATCTGCCTGTTCTGCTCCCCGCGCTGTCTCTGGCGAATCCTGACATCCCCAGACCTCTGACCTGTACCCCGGTTCTTGTACGCAATAAAAAAATCCTAAAAAAATTTAAAAGAACGTCTGCTTTTGGCCTGGAGCTTACGCCATCATCTCTCCAGGGTCTCATGTCTTCAAGCTTCAGGCTGGAACTACACACTGCTTTTCCTGGGTCTCCCGCATGCCTCCTGCAGCTCCCGGGGCCCTTAGTCTGGCATCAACCATCGTCCATCCTTTTGGCCCTGTTTCTCTGGAGAACCTTGTCTAAAGCATTAAACTACAAAAATTATCCCAACACTCAGACCCCACAGGGAGTCTCTCTGAGAGGAGGGGGCTTAGAATTATCCATCTTCTGCTGCTGCTTGATTTCTAGACCTGATTGCCTGGGTAATACTCAGCCCTTTGGTTTTTTATCATTAATCCTTTTAACTTTATCACATCCTGTCCCAAGTTTCCGATGCAGCTGCCTTCAGTATATATCCACTTGAATTTCTTACATCACTCTCAAGATTAACATGTAAAACTGAAATCATAAGCTATTTTTGAGTTCCTATCTCAGTGACTCAAGTAAGAAAAAAAAAAATGTGGTCCACCAGAGGCCCAACATTTGGTTTCTACTTGCTGAGAGCTGCAAACTGAACGTTGTTGACAGTCAGCTTACTGCATGGGAGGGGCCCGGAAACATTCCAGGCTTTCAGCTGAGGCCCTTACCCCAAGAATGAGGACTCGTCCTTCACAGAGTCTCATTTTGAATCAAATTTTAAAATGAATGGAGTTGATTTGCCACTGTCAGGGCACATTCTCATTGGAGGAAAATCTCATTTCTCTGCAATTTTTCATGTAATACCCAGCATTCAATAAAAATATCCAGACAAGCAAACAAGTAAAAAAATTGGCCGAAAAAATAAAGGGAGAAAACAGACCATAGAAACATACCCACCAAAGACCAGATATTGGAATAATCACACATGAAATTTAACATAGTTATGATTAATATGCTTAAGACAAAGATTAGATGAACTTCAGCAGATAACTAAAATTTATGAAAAGGATTCAAATTCTAGAAGTGAAAACACAGAAGCTGACATTCAGAACTCAGGTGACTGGTTTATCAGCAGAAATCTAAAGAGAGAATGAACTGGAAGAGAGATGGGATATGGTGAAAAGGTGTAACAGAGTTCCAGAAAGAGTAGGTAGAACATCAACATAAGGAATTTTTAAAGAGGTAAGTAAGAGCTAATAACTTTGAAAGCTGATGAAGAATAGGAAACCACAGATGAAAGGAACACTGCAAATAAAATTCACAAAACCAGAGACACATTTAGCCACATCTTAAACTGATGAAAAAAAAATATTAAAAGCAGGATGAAATAATCGACATCCAAAGGCAACAGCTTATCTTTAAAAGCATTTTCAAATTAGCAACCAAAGCAGGATTTCATTACCAATGAAAATATTCCTCAAAAAAAAAAAAAAAAAAGGTATATAGAGACAAAAGCTAAGACAATTCTCACCACCAGACCAGAAATAAAGAGAAACATCAGGTGAACACCGACAAAAACACACAGAGAATCAAGAATAGAAAAGCCAAATAAGTGAGTAAATCCAAATGAATGCTGATGACATAAAACAATAATAAGTTCTCAATTACGGGTGTTAAAAAATACAGAGAGACGTGAAACACTGTGAGAAAAAGCATAAATGTGATGGAAGAATACATGGAATTAAGGGGTTTAAGGCTTTTGACTGTTCAAGAACAGACTGAGGTCTGTCGGATTTTGACAAAGATGCAATTTGAAATGTCTGAACAACTATGAGCACATTAAAAGGTTATTTAATTAACAAACCAAAAATGAGACAGAACAATGGAAGAAAATCCCATCATCCCAAAAGAGAGAAAAGAAACACAGAGAAGGTGGGACAAACATAAAACAAACCTAAGATGACGGATTTAAAACCCAAATCATTTGCATTAGGATTTACATTAAATATAAATGGACTAAATAGTCATCTAATTAAATGACACAGGTTTTGAGGTCAGGCAAACTGTTGTTCAGTGACTCACCAGGTTTCTCAGGTTCCAACCTTTCTTATGTTTCTAGTTCCTCCTGTCCTACCCCATATTAGCCATTACTGTAGATGACTACCTTGACCTAACTCTTTAGATAACTCTTTTACCTAAGATACTGGAAAGGGCTGGACAACTCCAAATACAGCAACAGCAAAATAGGTTTTCTCATAGGAAATATAATTTTCATAAAATGACAACATTGTTATAGGAAAA